GTTGCGACCAAAATGGTTTCCATTTTGCAGTAGGGAAAATGTGTAAAGCGATTGAAACGCGCAAATATTGTTGGTATTATAGGTGTTCAGCACCGAAGATATACACAGCGACGCAGTCGCCAACATGGAGCATTACGAAAATTTCGGAGACAGTTAAAAAACGTCTCGTGATCGAGAAGTAATGAATCTGGACAGCGTTTGAAATTGATTTCGTTCAAAGTCGGCGTATGTCGCAAGCTTCTGCAACTCGGGCCGGTCGAAATCGTGCTTTCCGCGTCACTGCATCGAAAGTGTGCAACATTGCCTCGCGACAGCCCCGGATGCCGTCTCGAATGTTTCCCGCAATTTGCAATCATGAACGCCCGGAGCACGCGATGCGCATCTGGTGCATTCAGACGTCACGCTCTTGGGCGATTTTAACGCCTGTCAGAGCGGCATCGCGCTCTTATCGACGCAACTCAGCGGAACAAAACTGTCCGACTTTCCTTCGATTTTCTAATCGATTTCACGGCTATAGCAGGATTATCAGAACGCTGTCGAAATTTGAAACTCGACGAGCTTCCCTCGTGTCTCTTGTTAACGATGTTTCACAGGTCACAGGTCCGGGCTGGGGTTACAGGTCACAGTATCAATGTATCACAAATAAAACAGATTGACACGGATAATTCGTGGATACAGCATACATGAACGTGCACAAAATTCATTTTACTGATTATTAAACTTTGCGCAAAATACGAATTTTCTAAGACAATCGTGCGAAAGAACAAATAAAAATTAATTTTTCCTTTTAATAATTTTCACGAGAAAAACAACGATTAAGATTCTGAAATTCTTTCAGCATCTTCACAGTGTTTTAATATTGCATCTAGTCGATTTTATCACAAATGCATATGTATTCGCAGTCTACCGATGACGCACGAAATACGAGAACGTGGTCGAGTTTCTGATTGATCCATGTATGTATGATTAACGAACGTGCAAAACTGTTGGGACCAACACTGCCGTTCGTACACGAAGTACAATATTTGTGGTAGAATTTCTTATTGATCCATGATTAACAAATTGCAAAACTATCGTGAACGGTTGTATAAATGATTACCGAAGCTTCTATTAAGCTTCGATTCGTTTTACAAGGACGCCAGAGGTCTGCGCCAGTCCTCGGGGCGCATGTGTAGCCGCTCCTAAAAATCGAATCGCTAATTATCGACAAGTGCATTCGATACTTTATACCGGGAACAGGGCCACGAAGTGCATTGGCTGCACTTGCAATCGATGGTTCACTTTCTGGCTAACCGCCTTTCCCTCGTAAACCTAAAGACTGTTTGACGAAATGAAGATTTCGTTGCGGAGAACGCGATCTAGACGCTCACTGATCGGTCTCGCGTGTTGAGGGTGATTCACACCGGTTCTCTTCGACGTCCAACGAGATCCGGATACACAGCGGGTAGAACGCGATTTCGTTATGTAAGCAACCGGAGAGAAAATACCGTGGTTCTTGCAATTAGTGTTACCAATAGAAGACTACTTCGATCGCGTGCCACGAACGAGCGAACGAAGCAATTCTTATTGCTACAATATAACAATTGCGCCGACCACTAGGAACCGGCCGTAGGATGCGTGTTGCAACTTCTCCTGATACGTGCATCCGTTGCTTGAACTTTTCCAATCAACCGTTTACCACCGGATTCGTGTAAAAGACGATTGTTTTTCTGGCAGTGATCTTGCTTCATGGCTCGTCGAGTCGCGCCAGTTGTCACGATCCGCGAAAATCCCCGAAGCCGGAATTAATGCGCGATTCATACACGGAACTTGCAATTTGCTCGTGCGAAGATTGCTCTGCAGCAACAGAAGCGGATACCGAATCTATTGCGATAGACGAAGACAGAGATTGGCAGCGAGCATTTCTACACTGTAGTGATAAACGTTCGGATCGGTCTGCAGACGCGACGATATCAAAAAGCATCGAAGATATAATCAAATAAAATTAATTCGAATTCGAAGTTTCTGTTTCTTACATCTCCATCGCGCTATTATTAATCCTCTTTGCTGCTTCCATTTAAATGGACATTTAAATTGACCGGGCCTGAGTGAAGTTTTATGATTAACCAAAGAAAACAAAATCATAAAAAATAAACTATAAGGGTCATTGTTGCATAAAATTGTTGCCTAATCGTTTTGCTTGATGCTTCGATCGCGGAACGCAATTAGAGGGCGGAGGGTTCAAATTATTAACAAATTCCCTGTCGTTCTGATTTTGAACAGCGTGTTATAAAATGTTTAACCCATTGAGCTAAAATTGTATAAAATAACAAGGGTGCACTGTCGACAGAACTCCGTCGAATTAGAACAGTTCCGTAATATTTCAGCAGACTGGTAACATTCCGTGCGAACAGATTTGATTTTCAAACGAAAGCAATCGCGATTTGAAACGTCCGAAGTCGATCGAATCGATTTCTCGGCCCGGTGAATTAGTTTCTCGCGCAGCCGAGCCGGCCGACTGAATAATTCTCGAAAAGGCTCGACTCTTCTAAAAATCGTCACGTCTGCGACAGTCGAAAAGGCAGGCAGGTCCTTCGGCATTAAGAGTCAGCCGGTGGTGCATCGGAAGGATGCCGGCTACCGTGCACGCATAATATGTAAATGTATCGCTGGCTCGCAGGGACAACCAGTTACCGATTTGCACCGGTGCGAGATGGCATTAGAAGGAGGCACGGTAACACGGTGACACGCGTGTTGGGCCCTCCGGCCACGATTTATCTGGTGGCCGTCTTCGCGTCGAAATGGCCTCCCGTGCACCGTGCATCACCTCGTTCACCGGGAGACGCAACGCTCGAAATCGATGCGCGACGCCGTGGACGGATTCGAGAGTGATCGATTTCCTGCTCGAGGTGAAATACAGACGGCGTAACGTGTGCTTCGCACGAAGGCATCGGATCGTCGCGCCGCGCGGCTCGCGGTGATTTGAATGGATTTCCTGTCTTCGGTTTCGGGGAAACGGTGGAAGTACTTTGCATGTCTATGCGATCCCTCGTTTTGTCGACTAAAAATAACCGGGAATGGAGAGTGAGCGCCTGACATAATCCTCCAGTACCTGTTCCGATAAGTAGACTGCGAAGATTTATGGAAATCAGTGCAATTTTCATATTCCATGGAACTCATTGAGAGAAACAAGTTCCAATTCTGAATACTCGTGTTATATGTTTATTAGCTGGTTGCGGATTTTTATGCGCAATCAACTTGTCTGCACTAATAATCGCGAGATGCAGGAGTTACGTAGATTTCTATTCCTTTTGTCGATCATTTTAATTAGTCGAAAATAATACTACGGTATTTTTACGTTCTTTGAACTTGCCTATTGTTTCGTATTTATTCAATATGTCGTTGTCGACCCGGTAATGCTACACTGTGTAGAAAACTATGTTTTTGTATTTGGACGATCTACAAAGATCTAATGTATTCTTTTAGATTAAATTGTATATGTTTAAACGCAACGATCGTTGCATTTTTTTCGTTATCTACAAAAATGCACCGAGCCAATTACTAGTGTTTGCTACTTGCATTGACATTTACTCCGAATGAATGGTTTCGTGTCACAATTAGCCTGACACGTTTTTATTTAAAATGGTCAACTATACGTGTTGAAAACATAATTAATTTAACTATGTACTATGTAGTATATCAATTAATGCATCCTATCGTATAATGAACAAGGATTTAGAACAAATTAGATCGTTACAGGATATTCCAATGTATATGCCAATTTGTTCGGTTCGAAACGAGCAGCTTGTAGGATACTCGGCCGCGAATTCAGTCGCACGATTTTTCTCACAAGATGCTAATTGCGAGCGTCGGGCATGTACAAGTCCTTTATTTTCGCGCGTGAAGAAAGAGGCGACGTACTCTCTCGCGGCGTCTCGTTGAAACATTTAAATTCGAGTATCGTTATGCGCTTCGTGGCGCCAGGTTCTCCGAACGTTGGTGCCGTCAGGGCCGTAAGGAGCTCATGGCGAGAAGAAACAAAGGGTTCCTTAAGGCGCGTAGCCACCTGTCACCGGGAGCCGGGAAGATGCAAGACCAGTGGCAACTCCGTTGCAACGATTCCTCGCCTCCGGTCTGCACCTTCTTCTTTTTCGTCGGTTCCCCCCTCCCCGCGCTCGCCGTCGTCCTCGTCGTCGTCGTCGTCGTCGTCCTATCGTTCCTACTGTTTCACGGCGCATTCAGCGGAAATATTAAAATGCCCCGGCGAGTCCTGCACATGACAATAAGCTCTTCGCGCTCCGGACGTGCTCTGGATACCGGGCTGTTCGCTCTTAAACTACCATCCGCGTACACGTAGACCGTGGTGTTCTCCCATTGCGCCGTCCATTCTTCTTCCACGGGACCATCCACCTCGACCATAATTCGTCGGGGTGTCCCGGAGGATTGAAATGCACGCGGTGCACATCCTGTCCGGGAAAATTCAAATGAGCCCTGCCCCATCCTACACCGCCGCGCCGAACCCGGAGATTTGGAAATCCGCTCGGCCACCGTTCTGACGGATGGCTTGCGAGACAACCTGGCAATGCCGGGAACGAGATACCCGCGATAAATATCCTTACCGGTTGCCCGGAGTCGCAGGTGGAGTCCTCGAAACTCGGCCACGAAAACGAAAGCACCAGCACAAATTTTTGCCTCCGTCTAATTTCCCGTGATCTGCGCGAGATCTTTATCGCTTAACTCGTCGACTGTCAGTCTTTATCCATGTGTGGGAGACGAAATTATTTACTCGGAACTGAAACTTAATTTTTGCGCCAACGTATTATGACTTTCTAATTTTAGTAAGATCCGCAAAATGTGAGAACATCGACGAAAGTAATTGCTATTGTGCAGCTTCACTTTGCAATTTTTATTTAATTCGATAAAATAAAATTTAATTCTACGAAATTTTTGAGACTGTTGGTGTAGTAGTCGAAGTACTAGCAAGTTTCCTAGCAATGCAATAATGTATAGGAGTAGACATATCAAGTGTTACATACATTTATTACATTAATTGTCGTTGCAACGTACAAATTTACTAATTTTTGTCATTAATTGTGCGCGCGCTAGCCGTTACGCTTGCTTCGTGGCGCCTCTCCGCTCATGGCCGCCATTCTGAGCGGGAGACGCCTGTGCAAACTATCAGTTTGCTACAGTTTGCATCGAAATGCAACCGCATTTATAACCTGCTATATAGAACGAAAGTAGAAAATCGTGAGTTACGGCGGGCAATGACCAGCGATGACGATGTAAATTACACTCACGCGAAGAATCGCCCTGATTCGTGGTCTCCGATCGACAAAGATTGTTTGCGGACTCCCCCTAAATCCGCGTTCATCTCTGTCAAACGGCAGTCCAATCAACTCAAGCAATCCATTTAGTTCCGACGTTGCTGGTTAAATAGAGAATAGAATCGAGGACGTTGCTGCTGTTAGTCAGATCGTGCAAATCTTGTGTCTTCGATACCTTACGAGAAAACGAGTTAGACTTGAAAATTTATTTAAACAATTTCGGCGAATCTATTCTCTTCGAAATAATAATGTGCTTTTAATGTTCACGTTTTCATTTTAATTTTCATTTTTTAACTGTTACATGATGTCCTTGCTAGCGTTCCGCGATATTCGCGATAAAGATTATTTTTGGTTAATTGTGTTGCAGCAACAATGTAATCGTTTTCTTTTTAACTCATCGAATAAATACAAATCCAAGTTTTCTTAGTTATTATGCAGTTTTTTTAGCGTTAAAGGAGCTTCATTCTTCGAAGAAAATATTTCAACAGTTTGCAAATCGCGCAATCGCCTTCGTTAAGGACTAAATGACAAGTTGCTGTAGAAATAGCCTGCGAACTATACTGTTCGTAAGATTCACATATTTCCGGCGTTCAAAATCTCAGATTAGGTTCACCTGTCAAAAACTTACCGGAATGGTTGCACCTACATTCTCCACGGCCTGGCACGCTCTCTTATAGAAGCTTTGGACACATTCGACCAGTGAATCAGCTTCGTTCAACCGCTTCTTTTTATCCGCATTTTCGTCGTTATTGTCCTTGACCACCGACTTCAGGATAGTTTCGTTTGGTTTCGTGAAAACTGCCGTTGGAGGTTGAAGTGACAAACCTTTCGTCAACGGCTGGTCGTTTCTGGAACACGAAACATCGCGATATTAAATAATCAAAATTTACAAATATATCTCCATGGAATTCAAATCGGAGAAAGGACAAGTTCTATTGATTCTCTCTCTCTCTCTCTCTCTCTCTCTCTCTCCTTCTTATTAGAAGATGCTTGGAATTAAATGATTATTCCTGACAAAATACAGTACTGCCTCTCTAATTGACGCTCAGATCGTCCACAAAAATGGATCATTTGGGAAGAGGAGATACGATTATTCGAGCCTTGCGGTTCGTTTTTATAGTTACAAATTGTCAACAACTATAAGAACGAGCTGCAGGGCTCAAATAATCGTATCTCCTCTTCCCAAATTATCCATTTTTGTGCACAGTTTGGGAGACATTATTGTATAGCGAATAAATTTCAGATTGCCGGAGACCGTACCTGTTTTGAACATATTGTCGTACGCAGACTGCAGCTAAAAGGCACAGTGCGTACATAGGATTCTTCACCAAGGAGCTGGTCATAATCGGTGGTAGTTGTTCGGAATTTGGAGTTGGAACTTCGTCTCGAAAGGAAAATTTCACTGGAATTTGGAAGAGCTGTTCTGCGGCTGGGCGTATCTTGCAGTGTGATTCATTTGTTGAAATAATTGCCGGGCGACGATCGATACCAGGGCCTGCTCAGCCCCGCTGGATCGCGTTGGATCGCCCTCTCGCGAGTCCTTCGTGAGAAACGACCGCTGTGATTTTCCCATTACGGTAACGGGCGGTGGCGGAACGATCGCGAATGGGAGCGCGTGTGAAAAATCGAACGGGCGCGCGCGCGCGCGAGGCTCGCCTCCGACGAGCGGATTGCAAAACATCGATCGATATTAAAACGATCCGCATGGATCCGGCAGCGTTAATGACAGAGAAGAAAATCGGCCGCGGTATCACGACGTCTAACGAGTCCCGAGATTACAGACGGCACCGAGGCGCAATTACGCGGTCGCTACAGAAATGTTCGATTATTTTGTTCGACGGGTTTGACGCGGCATCGCGCCTTTCACTTTTCCGCGTTTGCAGCAGAAGTCGCATCCGAGAGGATTCTATTCTTCTTGTTCTTTTTTTCTACCGGCGCGGCGCGATTTTTCTGCGGATCGATTTCATGCCGGACAGCGCACGGTGCATCGCTAAAATGGAGAAAATTTGAGACGTCAACTTTTGATTTCGAACCGCTCAATTATGAAATTCAGTTCAGGGTCGTAGATGGAGTTATAAACGTCGTCGTGAAACAACCGAATTTTGCTTTTAATGACGATGCACGGCCAAATTCGCACCCTTCTGGGCAACGTTTCGAGGTTAACGAAATTGAGTTTCTAATTCTTATTCAATTAAAAGTGAAGTATTTTTTAAAATAGTGGTATTATTTGAAATCGAGAGTATTGTTTTGGATAGCCTTCCATTAATAATTAAGCATTTTAGAATGGATCATCAGGCTAACAGTATGTAAAAACTTTTCCAATTAAAACCGAACTTTAACTTGCCGCCGTGAAGCGTAAGTTTCATATTTTTTATTAGCGTTTTCACTTTTATATCATTCTTCGTTTCATGCGCTACGTAATACAAATTACGAGGAGGAAATAAAAGAAAACTTTTCAATCTATACAAGGTTATGACATTTGTCTCAAATCTATATATACGAGAGATCGCTACGAATTTTTCGGAAATCAATGAAAAAAGTATTTCGGGCGAGAGTAACTCAGTAACTATCAATAAATTATGTCAATCAAAATCCGCATAAAAACTTTTATTCGATAGAAAAATGAAGGTGACCGCAACTTTTTTACGAACTCGTATAATTTTCTTATGCATGATTTGCATTGATATGCACCGTTGCATTCTCACTGAAAAATGACGTCCAGGCGGAAAATCGATTAGTTTGGAAATCATGATTTTTGTGAACGCACATCGCTGTGTGGGAAACAGGTAGGCGCACTCGCGGCGTATCGGTGCCCCCGTGGCTTCTAGCCTGTTTGCTCCATTTAGAGGAACATTTCAGTTTCACAGAGCGCTCGTATTATCCGCGGAAATTGGTTCTAGCGAACGCGAGGTCAGGGAAGACCTGGCCGACGCAAGGATCGCGTGCAGGACCGACTACTCATCCACACTCACGTATTAAACATAAGTGCCACTTACCTATGCCTGAACCTCACGAGCCGCGAGCATCTCCGACTTCTCCTCCCTCGTTCCCCTTCTTCGCATCTTCGTCTTCTTCCTCCTATGCCGGTTTCGTCGTTTCTGATCCCTCGGCTGCCCTTGTTGCCGTCTCCGTTACCTTCCGTTCTTTCTCGCGGTCCGTTCCTGTCTTTCCTCGTGGCGATTCCCGTGAAAACCAGGCTCCCGGTGCAACGCGAAGGGCAACCGTTCCCTGCTTATGTATAATCGTCAGTCTTCCGCAACGTGGGGGCCAACGCGAGCACGCAACCGGCCGTCGAAAGAGTTCTAATTGGAATGGACGAGATGCGGAACGGCGGTTTTGATCCCCGGGGAATTAGGAAGTCCGAGGAACGATGATACGTGTGCTGTTTGCCGACCGTTGCGAAGAAGCTGAGCAGCTGAAACGCGCGTTGGATTACTCTGCAGTTGCTGATTCCCATTTATCAACGCGGTTTCTCCACCGTGTAAACCATTTCATTCGATCGAATTCGTCGGTTAGAATTTTCACATACTTTAACGGTTAAAGGCAACTTGTAGAATATGTGTCGGACCGTTCAGAATCAGTTGGCAATATTTATTCTTGCAATGTTGTTGGAATCGCGGGGTTGTTAAAATGTTAGCGTTTCGGTGCAGATATTGAGTCCACAAGGAATCGTTTAATAAATTATTTTCTCTATTCGCAATTATTTGAGGTAGTACAATGTAGTAGAAGCTTTCAAGTATTAATATTTATTTTGTGAAAATTAATTTTGTGTATATTTTATTATCGTGTGATATAGACGGTTTTTTCTATTTTTTATTAAGATTTTAATGATTTATGCACGAGATTTTAGAGTTTTAAGGTTCAAGGTGTTACAAGTTCCAGCACCAAATTGTGGTAAAACTTCCAGCGTAAAATCTAAAAAGGTTCAACCCTTAACTACTATCTGTGAGATCGCTACTAATTACTTATTCATTCTTATTCAAAATTGTAAGAAATAATGTAAAAAAAGGAACGTTTTTAATACCCTTGTTTCTACCGAATTGTTTATTTTTAGTACACTTGTTTCTACTTGTAGCTCTTCATTATCGATACGTAAAGTAAGAACAATTGATTTTGATTGTTTAACACTCTTATGTCAATAATAACGCATTTATTGATCTGCGAAAATGCTAATAGTGGTTACGTAAGTTTCAACAACGTGTTAGCTAAGGTTCAATAAAATCAATGTATCTCACTTAAACAAATTAAAAACTAAAAAGTTGTGTTGCGTGACATCAATTACTTTGTCAACATTCTTCCGATTCTCCCTGATAAAATTAGCGAGACATGATAACACAAGAATTCGTTCCGAAATCTGTGGAAGTAATTCGATCGCTCACTCATGGATAACGTGGCAGTCGACGGGCGAACACGAAAAAGATTGCCGCCGGTAGCGTGGGAACTAGAAAGCCCGGAAAGCGGTCTCCCTAAAATCGTGGCTCGGATTTCGCGATAACGGCTGGAACAGGCGGCGCGCGCATTTCCACGTGTTTTAGAAGCGGTGATTGCGCTCTGAAGCGCTTCAAAATTGCACGCAGATCGTGATCCTTTGAAAAGTAGAGGATGGCGGAGCCCGGCCGGCTAGCCGGAACGAAATCCAACGCTCCCAAGGATCACGAAGTTACCGTTCGATATTGACGAGGAGAGCGCGCGTAGGAGGCGGCGCGCGGGGGGTGTCCGCGGATGGCTCATTTTCACCTGGGGATTACCTTTGGCACACAATCATCCGCCATTAAGGCCGTCTGCAAAAATGCCGAAAACACCGGAATATCCCTTTACACGGTGGGGCCCAGGAAAGAGGCGATCTCTCGTGGTGCGCGCATAACCCGTCCGCGTCGGGTATATCACGAATAGCCCCGTGATCTCGCGGCATGATCTTTCAAGATCGGGAGTAAGGAAGATGGACGGAGGCGGAACGATGGTGCGGGATGGAAGGAGAAAATAAGAGACGATGGTGTCGGGGTAGGAGGCGGATAAAGGGAGGGTGGGGAGAGCGAAGGGGACCGTGGAGAGCGAGAGAGCGAGGGCGAGACGGAGCCAGGAGAGCTGAAGACAGAGAGAGAGAGAGAGAGAGAGAGAGAGAGAGAGATCAACGAGTGCTAGATCTCGAGCAACGATCGGAGATCATCTTCCCTCTTCGACCGTTCTCGTCCTCGATCCTAGAAGGAGGCGGCGGGGGCGAAAAGTACGAAGCGCTACGCCGGCGTCGCTCCCGCCGCCGCCATTATCAAATTATTCACTCACACCGCGCGCCATCTATCTTCGGGCTGCGCGATCGTAACGTGTTATTATTTGATCCTCACTTTGTTAGCGATCTGACTCTAACAGCCCCGCGATATGTACCTGGTAGATCCTGCTCGGTGATCTGGAGTACTTCTCACGATCTCGCGCCGGCAGCTCGCCGACCGACGCTTTCAGGCCGGCCAACCGATCCCGCGGACTCCTCCGCAACGGACCGCAGAAGCCGCGGCTTCTAGGCTCTCTTTCGCTTCGTCTTCGTCTTCGTCTTCGTCTTCGTCTTCGTCCCGAATAGAAACTCTCCCGGGAATCGTTTAGGCGCAGATCGCCGCGCGATAACGTCAGGATTCCCGGGTGAATAACATATAACGATCACGGTCGTGGCAAATTTTAATATTCCGCAGCTGATGGAAGGGATCGGGGCGAATCGAAACGCGGCGAGATCGACGGCCGCGATTACGGAAACGGTAGTCGGTTTTCGTTGCCGAGCGGTCTTTCTCTCTTTCGACGAGTACCGTGTCTCCTTTGCGATTCGAGGATAAAAAGACCCGAGCGAGAGGAGAACAATGACTGTTTCCACCCTTCGGGACTCCGCCATCTTGCGAAGGAAAAGTGTGGAAGGCTGCGAGGAACGTCTTGCGATCGTACTTGGATTTGTTACATTCGTTCGTCGAATAGATGTTCTTCGTTAGTCGCAGATGTTCATTTTAGTTATCCTCTTTTTATTGCAAACTGATACGCGAAATAACTGGACTGCGGATTTTATGCATTTGTGACGAAAAGAAGTGTATCGAATAGAAGACTGAAACGACATTGGAAAAATTCAAGGATAATGTTACAGTACTTTCAACTTGTCACGATTAATAAAAGGAGTAAGACATTTTTTCATGTGAGTTATATTTCGTAGAATTAACTTGGACAATGTTTATTTTGCATAAAAATTGATCTCACTGTTGACGAGTTTATGAATTGCTGCTTTAGGAACAGACTTGCGAACGCATCGAACGCATTGAAATAATCGAAGCGCATCCAAGGCGACATTTCTTCCATGGCCAACAATGCGAACGCGTCGTGGCATACTCTCGGTATCTAAATGAATTTAACCTCGATTCTTTACGCACCTGCACAACACTCCCGAAATGAATAAATTATCGAAAGTCAAATCACAAAATGTTGGAACACAAGGCGCATACC